ATGGTAATGGTTTTTTTTTTTTTTTTTTTTTTTTGCCATTCAAAAATAGTGGAGACTAGAGAGATCACTTTTAATGAAAGAGATTGAGACTCATTCTGCCAATGACCCATCACAAATTAAAATCAATAGAGAGCATATACCTTTGGATTGACAAAGAATCTACAAAATTCTTTTGAAGTTTTTTTTTTTTTTTTTTCTCACCCTTTTTTGGTTATTTGTTATAGTAGTAGTTAGTAGAGGACTAGGTGGATGATTAGTAAATAAAAAATAAAAAATTAAACTTTAGTTCTTGTGGTAATTTCAGAATATAAAAGGACCATCAATCATTGCTTTGGATGGAGGAGTTTCACATTCGAAAATATTAGGCTAACTTTATATTAGGGAGAAAACCAAGACTTCTGCCCAACAAAACAAACACATGAAAGCACATGCCTTCCTAATGGTCCTCTTTTTTTCTTTTTTTTTTTATCAGCTCCTAATGGTCCTCTTAAATCCTACTAACATGCTAATGTTAGCTCATCCACTTTCCATTATCCTTTTTCAGTAGGGTTGGAGTCCCAAGAAAGTAGTTAGGTAAACTTCAAATGTTTGTTAGTACCACGTGATTCTGTAATGACCCATTACTGACATCTTCAGCTTTGTCCTGATCATCCAACCTTTCCCCTCAAGAAGGGAAACATAGAGCTTAGAATTTCAGAATCAAAATCAATGGACAAAGAAGAAAAATGGAATAAATTCTGTTAGGAAGCTCTTATTTCATCAACAACCATTTACAGGAGCTAGGCCTCTCCAACGCAGGAAAAGAATCACAGCGAGAGATGATAAAATATTACATAGATTTCTTCATCCTTAAACCTATTTCTTCCCCATCATTAACTTTTTACATGATCATAAACAAAATACAGAGAAAACAGGAAACTAATCTGACAACACTTCTCTGAAGACAATGTGCTTGCTTCAGCATTGCATGTGTTGCTAGCTGGTGGCTTGTCATCGGGTTGTCGTGACTTCTAAAGAAGACAGGTCTCAGGTTGTTGCCTGAGCTGCTGCTTGGCTTGCTGCTGGGACCAGTAACCATGTGCAGTTAGGACCCTGTCTAAGAGTTCCTGAGGAACCGGCTCTCCCCTTCTTTGCTGAGGGGATATTCTTGCCGTGTGCACCAGTGTTTTCCACTTATCCTGTTCAACACAAAAGAAATCAAGACTACAACAAAAGATACTAGTATTTCCTTTTGCTTTCCAATTATATAATATTACAAAGACTAAAACTTAATGGGAGGAAGCAGCAATTTTGTAATTTGGTAAAGGGCAGGTCAGTCACATGAAAGAGGAAGATAAATATAGAGATATCGTGTGAGGAAAGGATTTGATAGATTCCTTGTGAGATGGTTGTTTTTCTGTAGTCCAAAAATACTAGAGTGCCTGTCTAATCATGCACATCCACTGGTTATGCAAGCAACAACAAGATTAATCACATTATTAAACTAGGTGCTCTCATGGGCCCGCACCCTAAGTGAACTTTTTGAATTTTTAAACAAGAGATTTTAGCTTCTAATCTAATATATATTTTGTTGGTATACCAAAAACAGGAGATTTAGATCCAAACAACCACATTAAAGCAGTGGCCATCTTTAAAAAAATTCAAACTTAAGAACCTTAGTAAGACAATTAAGCACTTAGCAATAAAAAGAAAACAAAAAGGAAAGAAACAAATAATGAAATAAATAGTTATTAGGTGACAGATTCTTAACTTACCTTCAAATCCACATATGTGCGATGTTTTGCATTATCAAAGGCCCGCAACTTGACATCACGCCACCTGCAGATCAACAAAACCATTAAAACCATGTCAAATTAAGCTCCTCATGTAATAAAGCAAATTTCAAAGACTTGGCCAGATATAAAAAGTACGTTCAAACATACCTTCCGGTTCCGAGTTTCTCAACTGCTTGAACCAATGCTTCAACTTCAGCAACAGAGAAAGGTCGACGAATTCGGCGTTGCACAACCTCTGATTGCTTAGACTTCCTATGAGCTGGAACTACAGCCAGTGCTTCCACACTCACAGGCACAGCCGGTGCAGCAACCAGGGCTTTTGAATCGGTTGTGCTTTTGTCAATTGACATGTCAGTAGGAGAGGGTGCAGAATCATGATCGCTTTCAACGAAGCTGCCTATATTAGGCGCATGAGGTTCATTTGCAGCATCAGAAGTGGCTTGATTAAAAATATCTGAAGTGGCTGGATACCTGATTAACAAAGACCAAATCATAAATTGGATCCACAAAATACTTTGAAATCCAAAAACATAGAAAAACGTGATGATAACAATTCTCATGCACCCATTTATTCTAAAACACCAAAATGTTAATTGAACTACCACATGTCTAAAAAACCAATGTACTGGAAAACAATAACAAGATTATATCACACCAATATCTAAATAGCAGTAAGTTTTATTACCTCGTTAGAGGTTGAGGAGTGTGACAGGGAATCATCGAGGGAGAATCTCCAGGACATAAAGAAGGGGTAGTTTGTGAAGGGTTAGGCTCCAGGCTAAAACCCAAAACATCTGACTGATTGTCATGAGAAATTCCTGTCTGCAGTAAAGTTTTGTTGTCATCTCTAACCTTCTTCCCTTGAATGAGTACACCAATTCGCAATCCACCTCCAAGTATTGCAGTCACTGCATCCATAACAGTCCTCTACAGAACAGTTGCTTGTGATTAGAGTGCATATTAATGACTGAGCAGCCACTGGATTAAAGCAATTCAAAAGAGATGCTACCCACAATGTGGTCGAGTATGATGATACATGCATAACATAATAAAGAAAAAAAACCATGCACCAACAGACACATTCCATCACAATTACAACATAGGAAATGCAGTGTGAGAAACCCCAGGTAGGCTGTGCTGCCCAGCATGCAAAAAATAAATGCACCCATATCTCTAAGCAAGCATTCTTCTGCCACATAAACTACCAACATTTTACCAGAATAAAGCAGCAGCCAAAAAGCAATTACCAAAATGATCGGAATCAAAGATCATTATTTACCTTCAACAAACCAACAGTGCCAGTTTCTGGAACTTCAATAAACAGCTCTGGAACCCTGAAAGACTTGATCCTAAGTTTTACTGATTAAAAGAGAAGACACTTCATGTAAGAACCACTTGAATGTCCGAAACTAATCAAGTCAAAAGAGTTAGTACAAATCACTCCGTCAAAGCTTCTCATACCACGAGAATCCCTAGGGTGGAACAATCTGGGTTGATCAGCTACTGAAGAAGATTCCCCAGTAGCTGCATAATGATTTAGAACACTTAGCAACCGCAGAAAGATCTAAATCCAGTACATTAATACAAGGATTACGAATGAAAAGCGGGCAAATCACCTCCGTGCATCTTTGGACATGAACCAGTAGCATCTCCATTGATGCCCTTCTCAGGTGAATGAGCAATGCCCTCACTACTAATTCCTCCATCAGAATTTGGAAGTGAGGCATATTGAAAAAACTTCCTTTTCTTGAAGGGATAGTTCCTTTCAGATCTGAGGCGTTTGTAACAGTTATTCCTATTGCAGTAGGAAGGCTTCAAGTCCTCATCTGAAAGAATCAAAATATTCATTTCATTTCATTAAAAAAGTAAAAATAATAAAACTGAACTCAATGACCTGTTTAATGGCAAACTCAAAATAATGAAAATTTGAATCATATAGCAGCCGCTTACCCGAGCTAGAAAGTTTAAAATCCTTCAATTTTGGAGCTACCTTCCAATATTTAGAAGCCAATATTTTCCTTATTCTTCGGTCACCAATATGTGGTGTTGACCTAAATGATTTTTTTATGGTGCTAGGGTGAGTACACCCTGAAGAGTTTTCGTCATCATCTCTATTAACTACATTTACATCATCCTGACTAGCAGGAAAAGAACTATGGGGATTTTGGTCCCGACAGGAAGGCGCCTTGGCGCTGCTATTTGAACTAACTAATGTAGGAGGTCTCTTTTTCCAGACCATGGGATCCTCTACATGGGACAGGCCAGTCCCTTCAGTTGAAACCTTGCCAGTCTTATCCAGCTCATAATTTTCCAATCTTTTATCTTCACCATCTGATAAATTACCATCACCACATCCACTGTCTGCAGCAGGGCCAGTCTCCACTTGGCAAGGTAAACTCTCCATCTCATTCTCAGTTTTTCCATTCACCAACTTCCCAGGACCATACCCTTCTGAGCTATCAGAAGTTGTTATTACAGAGGCAACAACTTGATGACCAGGCGAATCCCTGGAACTATAGTCTTGATCTTGAGCTTGTGAAACAAGCTCAGAAACAAAGAATTTCTTGTCACAGCTTCCTTGATTGCAGGTTTCTACCCTCAATGGTTGATCTTCTTCCTGCCTTTCCTCTTTTACAGTATCTCTTAGAACAGTAGACTTATCTTCCTCCCTTGGCATATTACTTGAACTGGGTACATTTTCCTTCTCGAGAAATAATTTTCCAGCTACGGTTGCCAGTAAGTCAAATGGACACATTTGATTGGCTTCTACTCTCTTCTTAAATGAACCCCTTTTCTGAAAATAAAAATAGTAATAACAATCATACTAACAGATCATCATTTCAGAAGAGAACCGGAATGTAAATAGTTAAAAGCTTACCCTGGCTGATCTGGTTGCTCGAGGAGTCGCAGGAACCTGATAGCCATTGAATCCATAGTCTAATCTCTTCTGCAAAACCATATCTCAAAGATCACATCAAGAAACGCATCAAAAATAGAGGCCCAGAAATCTTGAATAAACTCCAACGAGCATGTGAGCCTTCCAAATCAATTAAGTTTTGCAGACCCCAAATACTAGACCCTGATAAAAGATGGATAGAAACAATGAATCCCATGAGTTGCATTGAATGAGGAGAAGACAGCATAAAAGCAATTATATATAAAACCACATCCATGAAACAGAATGAAATTCAAGGCTGACCAAGAATTATAACTCTCCTCTATCAGATAATACATAATTAAAACAAAGTTATAAAAAGTCCCTTAATTCCAAAACACTGGATATAGACTCCAGTCACTGCATTTGACTGCACAAACATAACGAGCATAACTTGACACTTATCTTCCCGAATTGTCCCCAATTCCATTCCTACAACTTAACTTACAAAAACCCACATAAGAAAAACACAGATGTCAATAAATCCAAAGGCTTTCTGTTCCTTCCAAAAGATCTAGATCATCTTATTGAAAAAAAAAAAAAAATCATAGAAACCCAGAAAACTATCCATTAGATAAATGGAAGAAGAAATTAGAGAAAAAGCAAAAATATTTATTGGGAGAGAGCAAAGGGGAAGGCGCTTTGTACATGCATCAAACATGCAAGTGAAACAGTTTTAGAGAAGAAAATGGGGAAGATAGCCCTAACAGCAATTTTTATATATGTTACAAAAAAAAAATAAAAAACTGTAGTTTGGGTTTCAAATTATCAAAAGCTCAATGACAAAAAGGAGAGATACGAAACAAAGAAAGAGAAACAAATGAGAAGTTAGACCCAGGAAAAAAGAAAAATACTTAAACCACAACAAAACCCTGATACAGAGAATCCAAGCAGAGGAAAGCGCAAGCATTCGTTTCAGGCATCAATCCTAGAAATTCTGAGATTTGGATGATTCTGAATTTCTGATTTTGAAAGATCTAAAACCCTGAACAGAAAATCGATATTTTATTTAAAGGAATCTTCCAGAAAAATTGTCTGTTTTTCGAGTAAATTGCTATGAAATGGATGAACTACTAATCTAATCCTAGATCGGATAGGCCGAAACAGGAATTATGAAGAAAAAGGCGAATTTGAAGATAAAATGATACAAAAACTGCGAATTTCAAACAAGAAATCGAAGGAGCAAAAAATATAGGCCATTTGATTGCTTCCAGGTAAGTAAAAAAGAAAGAAAAAAAAAAAGTTGAAATTTTCTGAATCATGAAATAATTCTGGTCTCGAATTGCCACACAAAACCAGATTTTCCTTCCACTTTCCCACCCTTTCTCGGTAACCAGACACACCAGAGAAGAAAAAGAACGCAAAAAACCCAGGTTGAACGGGAAACCCACGCAAAAGATCAAAACTTTCAAGGGATACAGGAATCTAAGCAAGCAAAAAATCCAACTTTCTCACCTCTGGACAATGATTCTTCACTCAAAACGCGAAATTGGAGCTAAATTTGAGAGAAATGTAAGATCAGATGAACCACCAGAATTCCCTACCCACCCACAGAAAAACGTTCTCTGATTTTTCTATCCCATTTTCCCCTGAGAAACAAAAGCAAAGATCCTCGTAGTAGGATTTCAAACGCTACCCATTGTTTATTTTCTGGGAAATCCTATTTTCTTCTCATCCAAACAGAAAATTAAATTCTCTTCGTTTCTCTCTGATCGCCAAAACCCTCTGAAAACCACCCAACCTTTTCCTTAAACCCCAGCCCTTATACCATTGACCCCCTGTTACCGAACCTACCGGTAATTACCGGCTGTAGCCGGTGATGGAGAAACAGCTAAAGACCAGCTCCACGGTATTGGGTGACCCACCAGTGTTTTTTAATGTGCTAGATCTCGCCACGTGGACAGGGGTTTTCCATCGTGTGGCTGTCTGTGATTAGCTTGATCGAGAAAAACGTTGGGTCACGAAGAGAGGAAATTTTATTTTATTTTTAAAATTTATTTTTGGTTTTCTGATTTTTTTTAATTTAATGGTAATAATAATTGAATTTTATTGGACCCATCTATTTGAAATTTATCTCAGGCATTTTGGTAATTACATGTTAAAAAATAGGATGGGGCATGTTTGGTGACCATGCAAAGTAAATGTAAATACAAGAAAGGAACCAAACTAGAATATCCCATAAAAAATAAAAAATGGCAAAGAGCATCTTTCACCAAATTTTCCATGAAAATTAAAAATATGAGAAAAATATTTGTCAACTAAATCTAAAAAAAAAATATGGAGGGAAAACATTTTAAAATTATATTATTTTAATTATTTTTATTAAAAAATTAAAATAATATTTTTAAATAAAAAATAAGTTTGTTTTATTTTTTTTTATTATAGTG